CAAGAATACCTGCTGAAGACTGGTACTGTAATAAATGTGAATCTGGAAATTCAAAGAAATCGAAACAATTGAAACGCAAGAAACGATCAAATTATTTAGGTGACAATGGTGATCAAGCGAAGAAAAAAATTAAAAATTCAACTAGTGGAAAATATAATAAATTACAGAATTATGAAGGTAAATAGGTTGATTTATTATTATTATACCAGAAGGTGGTTAATAAATGAACTAAAAACATTATATTATTTTATTTTATTATATTATGAATATACTGCATATAGGAAATCTTAAATCTACTGATAATGGGGTGGAGAATAGCGGACAAGTAAATTCTTAATTTGATAATATATATTATCGTTATTATCATTATAAACTTATTTTATTATTACTTAAAAGCAAATGGATGAAATGGAAGATGCATCAAATATTAATGAAGTAAGAATCTATAATTAAATTTCTATAAATCTGTTAAAAGCAAAATTATTTACCAAAAAACTATTTTCAAAAAGGCATTACCTCTCCAAAATCCAGAAGAAATAGATGATGTCATAGCTCTACAAAGTTCATTTTCCCTGCAAGGGATAAATCAATCTGAAGATTCACTTAATAGTTATGAAGATGATGAACAAGTAAGTATTCTTTAATTTAAGTCATCAACTTTTATAAACAAAAATTAATTTTGTGAAAAATTTAACATATAATTAAAAATCTAACAGAACGGCGGGACAAAAAAATACACTGATATCCAAATTAAAGGAGATCCAATACCAATAATGATCCAAAATAATATGCCAAAAAATGAAACAATAAACGAAATTTTTAGAGAAATATTCGACAAGTGGATTGAATTTTCACGTTCTTTACCAGTGCCTGTGGAAATTGAGGATGGAGATGATATCAAAAGTCAGATTAACACTATTTGGAAAAAAATCAAAAATAACGAAAATAATTATCAATTTTCGAGAGTCTTATACATCCATACTCTTTGCGAATTGGTGCATATCTCTTTTAAGCTAACAAAAAGGATAAAAGAACTAAAGGATTCTGGTCAATTTTTTATCCCCGGATTTATCACTATGATTGATCAAGAGACTGGAGAAAAGAGACGAGAAATAAATCCAGAAGCAAATAACTGGAATCGTGAATTTGCCAAAGGTAAAAGAGTCAAAAGCCGTGCATACAAAATATTAGTAGAATCATCCACAATTTATCATAAAGGTAAACCAGCAATAATCAAAAATTTAATGATTGCAGCTAGGCGTTCATTAATAATTGTTCAAAGGCTGGGTTGGCAAGTAATTTATGATAGCAAAACGATTGAACCACCTAAGCTAAGAGTTATGACAAAGAATGAATTTGCTGAGCTTATTAAAAATATTGAAGAGCAGGAATCAGCAGATAATAATGATTATTATAAGCTATCTGATAAGAACTTAAAGGAATTAGAAGAAAGCTTTTAAAATTATGTAGTATAAAATTTTTATGATTAAATTTGTTTTCTATTCATGCAAATTATTCATACATGATACAGTAGTAATTTTAATT